TGTAACACCCCATGTATACCCGGATTGTTATCATATCACAGTATTAAGCGTAGTTCAATTAAATGTGGAAGCTAACTTTTTCTTTTCAATTATGACATCATTATATTCACCAAGTTAGTTACTTAATCCTTTTTCAAAATAATGCCTGTATGTAAATTGCAATAAATAACTGAAATACAATCCGAGTAAAGTGTAAAACCCCATGTATACTCGGATTGTTATCATATCACAGTATTAAGCGCAGTTCAATTAAATGTGGAAGCTAACTTTTTCTTTTCAATTATGATATCATTATATTAACCAAGTTGATTATTTAATCCTTTTCAAAATAATGCCTGTATGTAAATTGCAATAAATAACTAACTGAATAACCTCATATATAGATGTGTATCTAGTCACGGACAATGTGGCATGGACAATCCCCATTCTCACCAAATAAGGTAACCAAGCCCAACATAGTCTTAGCTCAAATGAGATTTTAATGGCAATAAATCATAATCACTAATCAGGCATATCAGCAGTCAACATGCACAATCAACTCAGCTCCGGCCTCCTGTCGCTCGAGGTCTTAACCCCCGAGGTACCTGAACCTGGGTGAGATCTTTAAAAAGAAATCTCAGTAAGACAAGGGGTCCTCAAGGATTTCTCCACCCTAAGCTCACTTACATGTGCAATATAAGTTCTAAAATAGTAAAATAGTATAAGTTCCAAAATCAGTGTAATGCAACATATAGCCATGTCATGTGTGTCAAAATCCTACTGGCCAGAGAATAAACATGTAGGAATTACATACGTCTACAACCTACAGTGCAAGACGCTACTTGCACCCCACCCACATAATCGCCATCTTGTATGACACTACACACTCAGGCTTACCGTCTAGGTGGAACACCACATACATATCATAAGGCACTTGCACTTAAAAGCTCAATAGCATTTCAATAATCATCATTTCATGAAAACACATCATGCATATAAACCATCCCTCCATGAGGTATGATGGAACCAACAATGGGCAAAACCGAGGACACGAAGGCTTACCTCTTAAGAAATCAATCCCAACAAGAGTCCACTCCAGCCCAAGGTCACCAAACAGATAATAGTCTGTTTATATTATAAATAATCATTAATATTCATAGTCCAAGGTTCCATTAATTGTCTAAGGCTTCCCAACTTGTTTTAAGTGATTTTAGACTAAAACTGCAGGAGGTATTCGAATCCTCCTCGATGAGTATTTGAATACTCCATGTCTCCAGAAAGTATCTGAATACTTTCACTAAGGTATGCGCATACCACATGGTATCCGAATACTTTCACCAGAGTATTCGAATACTTCACAGTATTCGAATACTTCCACTAAGGTATCCGAATACTTTTCTTCCCAGAAAAGTATCCCAATACTCCTTCAAGAGTATTCGACTACCTGTTGATGAGTATTTGAATACTAGACGAAAAGTATTCGAATACTTATCAGAAAGAATGCAGAAGTTCATGCATTCTCTGCATAATTCCCATTTTAATGCTTCTTCCACGACTTGGAGTCCAATAACTCCTCAAACAGATGTTCATTTATGTATTTTAAACATAGTTCATCAACCTTTAACTCATATAATCAAAGTTTTCTCTTTTAGTGGCTTAATCAAGCTAAAAACATGACTATTCAAAGGGGATGATCATGGGTTACCTCAAAGCTCACAAACTCAGAAAAAAGGACAGACTTGGAGCCTCCAACACAGCTCCACAACACTGACTTCACACGGCCATGAATTTGCCTTGCAAGCTTGGTCCTTTATACCAAAAGGTGGCTTCTTGAAGCCACAATGTCGAGACAATGACTCCCTCAACAAAGCTCAATAACTCAGCCCATAAACCACCACAAATCAGAGGCCAAAACTCAGCAAACAAGGACCTTTCTCCCACACAAGACTTGTTCTCACACAACTATGCTAATTTGGTGAAGGGAGTGTGAAGAAAGATGATCACTTGGAGGTTCAAAGAAGAAGAAAGCCATGAAATGGTGAAGAAGAAGAGTGGCAGCAGCTAAGTATCAGCCAACACACGTAGGAGGCAATAGGAATCTCGTTGAAGGGGACCATGAATAATGATCAGAAGTTATTCAATATGCTTTATCTTAATATTATCTTGAATTTCTCTACTTTTACATGAAAGATTGCAGGAAATTATGACTGATATGACTAATAAGAGGCGAAAACAAAATCTCGCGTGAAACGTAGATAAATGATATCAGCAACATTATTATTTTGAACTGCTTTGAACTGATCTCATTGTTCTTATCATCTTAATGATATGATATTATTATTCTGTGAGATCCGTGGAAATTATAGGTTTTACCAAACAAGAGAGATATGAGCCTCGTCTACATTGTGCTGCTTAGGTTTGAAGACGCTTGAGGGTAAAGCCCGACAAAGGTTTAAAGCTCAAGTCTTAACTTGAGGATAAAGCCTAAAGGTTAAAAAAGAAAAAGGAAGGTAAAGCCTTAACTGGTTAAAACTTCCATAAAGATTAAGGAAGGTAAAGCCTTATCAAATTAAAACTTCCTTCAAGCGCGATGAAGAAAAAGGAAGGTAAAGCCTTAACTAGTTAAAACTTTCTTCAAGCGCGATGACGAAAAAGGAAGGAAAAGCCTTAACTGGTTAAAATTTCCATGAAGAAAAAGGAAAGGAAGGTAAAAATTTTCGTAGAAGACAAAGGAAGATAAAACCTTAACTGGTTAAAACTTCTGACAACATCAAAGTGACATCAAATATGCGGCATCAAAGTTCCACAACTGTTTCACCTAAAAGCAAAACTTCAGCAACATCAAACCCAAGAGCATACAAGATGTCAGTGTTAAAAGGTATGCGAAATATATAAAGTATGAATTATGAATTGTGTAAAAATGCAGTACAACTATGAAGCTCGTAAGCATCAAGAAGGTACAGACCATAGTGCACAATAAAGGCGCAAGTAAAATGAAGTTGCTTAGTCACCACACAGGCAAATCATGTCGGAGACTTGCACATCTTGCTACTCATGCCTTCTGCATAAGCACCGAGCCGGGGGGGGTTCTGATATGGATAAAATATGATAGGCCCATCAAAGGTCAAAATTCATAGAACAAGGCCCAAACCCAAAATGAGGCGCGATGTCATTAATCGCGCATTAGAGGGCGCGACGTTACCATCGCGCCCAAACCGCCCTTCAGCATAACTTCAAAGATAAGGAAGCAATCACAAGAACTAATAAAGATCCACCGCGCCATTGAACAAATAAACAGAAGACAGCACCAGTTTGCCACCACTCTACCAAGATCGCCTGACATAATGAGATAAGGCTATAGAAGCACCAACTGAACCTGCAACCTCATCTCATCAAGCTTCTCAATATTAAAAGCTACATGACATCAATTTGTCCTTTCTACATACTTCTGCAAACATTACCTCCAAGCCTCCCACAAGAACCAATAAAGAGGAATCTATGCCTTCACTATGAAGAAAGGCATCTCCCAAACTGGTCATCTCTCCACTATAAATACATGTGTTAACCCAAGGTACACATCTTCTACTACATAATAAAACGTGCTTGAACCATATCTGACTTGAGCGTCGGAGTGTCTTGCAGGTACACCCCCCCATCTTGTTCCATTGAAGACCCATGGGTTAAAACTGCTCCAACTGCAAGATGCTCTAACCCAAGACGGTTCCAGGCCATTTGTGTAGAGGAAGATCACATGATCGGCCCAGTTGTAAAATCGGATCTGATCAAAAACAAAGGGAAATGGTGTCTAAATGTGAGAAAGAAAAAAGATAAAAAGAGATACTTGGGAAATTTTTATATAGGAAAAATGAGTATCATTTTAAAGGACACAAAGTTGTGTCATTTAAGTGAGAGAGATAGTTCATGAGAGAGAGAAAGAGAGATAGTAGGTGAGAAATTTTTTAAATGTGTGGATTAAGTAGGTAAACGAAAAGTCACAAAGAAACTCTTTGTGAGAGTGAAAGGACATAAGATATGTCATTTAAAATGACACACCTTTTTTCCTTTTTATATTGCTAAAAACTGTGCAGTAAGTAGGGAAACGAAATCATGACCAAGTTCATTTCTAAGGTATAAATCCTAAATTTAGTCCTATATATATAAGGTATAAATCCTATTGGAGAACATCTTAATTTATTTTCTTTGGGTTTAGCAACCCAAACTCCTAAAGCATGTTTTATTCAAACCCCACCCCACTCCCGCGTTGACCCGGGTCAACCCTGACCCCTCCCCTTTGAGGGTTGGGGTCACAAGTTGGACCCTATGTGCATATCGATCCCTCCGACCCGCAAGACTCGGCCGAATTTTAGTGACTCCTAGGTAAGAGGGGTCAAAGGGGGTCACTGCATTTTTTAAAAAAAAAAATTCCATGAAACAACATTGTTTTTTAAATAAAATAAAAATGCTTGCAAACCTAAATCTAATCGTTCTCTTCTCTCCTAGCGACCTAGACGTTTTCAATCTTCACCTCGCTGCCGTAAATCTTCTAAAAAGGTAAGAATTTTACCCATTCAAATTAAATCCTTACGGTCGTCGATGGAAAACAAAAACTCATTCTTACTTCCTTTAAATTTTCTTTTGTCAGAGACCTTCTCAAAAGAGGCCGAACCGGATCAGCGTAGTGATTTTATTAGAATATGAGTTTTGTACTTTGGTATCGTAATACTTTAATTAAGTTGTGTAATATTGACTTGTGGTTGTAATTGGTGAATTATGTTAAGTATATTTTGAATTTTTATGATTGGTGGTTTGTTTTTAAACATTCGAATTAAGGCGTATCTGCTCATAATCGAGTACATGTAAGGAAAGCTAAAAGTTTCCAACCCAACCATGGTTATTACTAAGTATCATGTATCAATGCTCTTACTCCTCTTTAAACATACTGTTTACTTAATATATTTTGACAAATGGAATTATTGACATAATTTTATAATTACAATTATGATAAATTTACAATACATGGATTTAACAGAGGAATGGATAAGATATTACTAAATAACTTCCATCCAGATTCTCTCCACACATATATAATAATTAGTTCACATTTAGTAGGATGTACATGAGGCTAGCCAGCTTATTTTTATGAAGCCCATTATCATCAAGTGTGAAATAATGGCCTAGGAAAATGAAAGATTTAGAGTAAATACTCTTTTGGTTCCCTGACAAAAAATACGGTCCCTATTTTAGTCCCTTATAAAAATAAATTAGTTAGTTAGTCCCTAACAAATTCAAAGTGGACCCATTTTAGTCCTTTTGAGGGACTAATATGGGTTTTTTTTGAATTTGTGAGGGACCACGATTTCAACTAAATGGGTCCACTTTGAATTTGTTAGGGACTAACTGACTATTTTATTTTTGTAAAGGACTAAAATGGAGACCGTGTCTTTTGTTAGGTACCAAAAATGGTATTTACTCACAGATTTAATACATTCGGAATTTTGCCTTTGTTTTCTCAAAAACTTCTTCGGCGAAAATGGCCTCATTGCCATCAGCTCTTATAATCTCCAACTGTGCTTTCTGATAGAATCCAGTACCTCGCAATGCATCTGCAATAAAATCATCGAACCCAATAGCAATTGCTGCCTCAGCCTTTGCCCCGTAAACCAACCTCTGTATAAAAAGCATATTGTAAGAAAGTATGTCCAAAGTCGAAATTGGTAAATGAAAAAAATAAATAAAAATAAAGGTTTGCTATTTTCAACCTTAACTCGTGAGAGGTGGATTGCACCAAAGCACATTGGGCAAGGTTCACAAGAAGCATATATTTCACAATCTGAAAGTTCTATCTGCTTTAGCTTTCTACAAGCCTGTTAGACGAAATCATTGAGTTTATAATAAAAATTCCATTAATTGCATAAATTAAGTTTTCTACACATAAAGTATTATAAAAAGGCATATACGGGGGAGTGAGTATCAAACTTGTGACTCCATAATCAGTGATCGTGTAAAACAACCAAAGGCTCTAGTCAAAGGAAATTTTTTTGTCTTTATAAATATATAACTTGTGTCATTTCACTCTCACAAAGAAGTGAGACTCACACCTTTATTTTTTTTTGTCCACTTCCTTTCTTTCATTACCTATCTCTTTCTCTCACTTAAAATGAAATAACTTTACTATCATTTAAATTGACACACACTTTTTCCTAAATCAAATGATAAATCATAATAAATAAACTGATATCATATTTCAACCAAATTATAGATTTGTGGGTCTTTTAACACTTATATAATTTTAACTTGATCTAGGTCTAGCTAATGCTTAAATATTTCCATCAGCAATACAATCAATTTTTTAGTTTCATGAAATTTAAGATGTTATAAAGATTCATCAACAAAAATTAACAGAGTGCTAGCCAACTTTCCAGCAGGTATCCACTGAAACAATATAATAATAACGCCAAACAGAGAAATTATGCCCAAAAAATATCAAATCTGAAAACTGGGTCCACCATATTGAACATAGTTGTAAAGAACCTTGGGATACAATACCCAAAAACTAGCTCAAAGGGTGGAAGTACCCAAGGTCTTATAAACTCCACATTAATTGCACATACAACTAATGTGGGACTATATATCTCAACACCCCCTCACACGAGAGCCCATTGGGCTTGAAGAGTGGACAATGCAACAGGTTCAGCCTACCTGTACTAAGAAACGCCACAAGAGAAAGTGGGGGACGGCGAGGCTCTGATACCATGTAAAGAACCTTGAGATACACCACCTCAAGAATTTATAAGGTCTTGGGCACTCCCACCCTTTGAGCTAGCTTTTGGAGTGGTGTATCCCAATGTTCTTTACAATAGTTATTTAAATCCTTTCGATCATGTCAAATCAAAGCTTGTAAATTGTAAATTCTTAACCATTAACCTCACAAATCAAAATATTAGAATAAAGAATTGTACAAAGATAACCAATTGCCAAAGTGGGCAGGGCATATCCCTCTTGTGCAGTGAAGAATTCTATGACAGTCGGAAAAGCATAAATGTAATACTGATAATTTACCAAAAGAAAATATGCATTTTCATGCCACTTAAGAAAATTATTTGGCTATTTATAATCTAACCTCTCTTATTGCTGTGACTTCAGCATGAGCAGTTGGGTCTGTGTTCCTCAGAACCATGTTGTGGGAACTAGCAACTACTTCATCATTACAAACTATAATAGCACCAAAAGGACCTCCATCTTCACAGTTTACCCCTTTATATGCTTCTTCAACGGCTTTTCTTAAAAATTTGTGGTCTCTATCCTGTATAGCTAAGTGGCCAATGCAACAATAGAAGCAAAATAGTAAGAGGCTAGTACAATATGGTGCTTGCAACACAAGGACGGTCACAAATATTCAAGTGTGAATAATCCTAAAGTCACACGTCATTTTAAAAATAATCCAAATAAGAATTATACAAGTACAAAAGATCCAACTCCTATATGCTATCAAACCCACTTACTAGGTTGAGCCAGCTGATCCTATTAGTGGTGCCCCGTCTAACAAGAACTCCAAACTAATAAGGTGTTATTTTAACAAATAGTAGTAACTCAGTTGGTAGTAAGAGAACTGAGTAAGTAAAAAAAAAATAAGTGAAAAGAAAAGAGTCTTAGTTCGATCCTCACGTGTCACACACTCCAGATTAGTCCTATAATCTACTTAAAGAATTGAAACTTGTGAAAATATACCAAAAAAAGTCAACTCACCTCAAAGAGATAATTAGAATTGGATTAATTCAAGAGAGAAGAAAAAGAAAAAGAAAAAGCAAGGTGCTATTTTCTAAACATAAAATCTTATAGGCTTTGGATGAATGCATATATCATTTGATCATTAAGCTACCAATATGGATAACAAATTTGGGATTTTATTAAAAGATATAGACGAGGATCTCAATGTATCAATCCATCAACCAGGATTCCTATATAATCAAAGAAAGAATGCAACAAGAACGCTAAGCTGTGCAGAACAGAAGCATTACCTTCCTGATGGCCAGCAAACGCAGAAGCTACTGAAACGGTTCCATCCTTAGTTTCCACCACTGGGATGAACAAGAAGGCAAAGAAACGAAGAATACATAAATAAATGCAATAAAAAATAATAATCGAACATTGATGCGGTACCTTACAATGAGTTTTCGAATATTTAATAATAATTATCAGTTTTCTAAAGCGAAGTAGGGACAGTGGTACGGTGTCATTGTTTTTTCTTATCTACTCGTGAATTATTTTGGCAGGTACGATACTTTTGATATTTCTGACAAATTTTAAATTTGACACATATTTGAGAACAATTAGATTAAAAATATCAACGGTATCACATATTTATATTTATAAATTAGAGTTGTTGATCTTTTTTATCTAACAGCACTCGGATGAGGTGTCAAATTTAAAATTTGACACCGACTTTAAATGATCCTACTTCATTTTGTTACATAATTTTCCTTTTCAACTATAAATAAAGGGTTTGGTATTTGTATTTTTTTATGGATATAAAATTGTGTCATTTTAAATGAAACAAAAAGATAAATAATGAAACTTATGGGAAAAAATGAGTGTTTGTTTTTTTAATTTAAATTTTAAATAAAAAAATTTAATTTTAATTAAAATAACCGTCTTTTAAAATGATAGATATTTTCCCCAAAAATAAATATTTGACCACCCATAAATTATAATAAGTTAATAGTAGAGTTACTATAACAATTAAAAGCAATATATATAGATTTGAAGAAAAAAAAACATTTTTAAGATAAAGTTATAAAAATGAATTAGCACATAATAACTAATAGAAAGACCAATAGAAAATTGCATAGACATACAAGTTAGAGGAAACTCAAATCTGGGATTTCCCAGAAGAAAGACATTGATTAAGAAGAGAATAATAAAATCAGAATCCACTTATTTAATGGAAAACAGATAAATAACGAAAAATGAAATGTAAATACCGTTAACTTCTTCCATGGCAGGGTTGATGTCAATAACGAACTCAAAAGTCCAATTCGATAAGGTAAGTGCAACTCCTTATGTGAACGCAAATAAATCAGCGAACTAATTGTGGTATATATAGTACATTGATGATGGCGATGAGAACAAGGACAAGAATCCAAATGGGGTAGAAAATGCGGTCCACGGAAAATGCAGAATATGGTCCCCTCTTACATAAATAAAAAAGAAAAGAAAAGAAAGACACATCAGATGATGCTATCATGCTGATCTGAATGCTTGTAAGAATTAGATGCGAAATTAAAAAAGAGGCATGTGGGACAGAAGGTCAAAACTCAAAAGCATATGAATGGGGTTTGAGATATAATGACTCATCCCAATGGCCATAATGTGTGACGCGGACCATATTGTAGTTATAAGTCATGGGACATCATGATCTACAAAAAGGTGGAACGTGTTTCTCGAACTCGTGAAACGCACGTTGCCTTCTCAAATTTTTATTTGTTTGGTACAACTTATCACATCGGATTGGTGTTTTAGAAGATATTATTTACAGTTATAAAAATTAATTAAACTGATATATAATGTTCTAGATGATATGTCCCACCTAGGCACAAATGCGACTGCCAATTTGATGGTTCAAGTGCAGAATCACCCAATGCTAAAATTATAGTTAAGAATGTGAAATAATAGTTAAGGGACTTATTCCCCACAAGCATCTCAAACTTTCTTCTTCTACCTTGGATTCTTTAGCGTGAGGAAGCGAATCCTAAATACCACTATATATTCTGTCACTTCTTAACTAATTTTTTTTTTATATATATAGCTAAAAATGTAAGTGGATTTAGATACTGATATCCCATCAGAATTAGAGAAGACATTTTAATCCTTTGAGAATTTATGGGGGATTATATATTATTCACCAACAAAATTCTTACATCGGCCACCAGGGTTTGAACCACATCCTTATAGAGTAGGGACCAAACTCTTAGCCAACTGTGTCCACCTTTGTTGGTACTTCTTAACTAATTTGTGCCTAAAGTATTCCATTATTTGATGCTCGCACCCATTAGCTAGATACACTTGTTAGAGAATAATATATACACTTGTTAGAGAATAATATAAATCATTAAATTTTTGGATTGAATTGGTTTTTTTACATGTTATCAGAGATTCTGTGATCACAAAGTCACAAGTTCGATCCTTACCGCCCCTACTTTCTAGTGGAATTAAAACAAGTACAAGGTAAACCGAAAATTAGGCCTGTGTAATATTCACGCTTCAAGTCCAAAGAGCTCTTGCGTGATTGATGTATTAGAAATAATATAAACCATTAAAAAAGTCATCACTGACACCTTAAGATTTTGGATTGAATTGGTACTTTACAATTAAATAAGCACAAGGTAAACCAAAAATTGAGCCCGTGCAATATCCACGCTTCAAGCTCAAAGGGCTCTCGCGTGAGGAGGTGTGTCAGAGAATAATATAAACCATTAAAAAAGCCATAACTCAACAACTTAAGGTTTTGGGTTGAATTGGTTCTTTACAATTAAATAAGCACAAGATAAACCAAAAATTAGACACATGCAATATCCACGTTTCAAGCCCAAAGGGCTCTTATGTAAGAGGGTGTGTTAGAGAATAATATATTGAAAAGATCATATCATAACATTTTAAACTTTTGGGTTGAATTAATTATTTAGGATACTCTTTCATATTCTTCACTTTCTTTTATCCTCTCTAACTTGAGTGTAAGAGTTAAGGTAAGTGCAAAATAACAAAACTTACGGAACTGAATTGTATGTTTTAACCAATTTTAATAATCGAATTGGTTTATGAATAAGTTTAAAAATTGAATCGAAATGTTGGAAAAATCATTCGAAATCGGTTTGGAACCAATTTGCATGTTGGAGCGGGTTTTAAACCGATTCTGCCCGTTATAAATCATGAATTGGTTTTGAAATATAAATCCATTCCAAATAAATTCAGAATCGGATTAGGAAAAATAAAATCAGTTCAAATTAAATAAAACAGTTCGATTCAATGAAAAAATAAATCAGTTCAAGTCGAACATGGCTACCCATAATCAAAGTACTCTACACTTGCACAATTATGCTCAATATAACACCCCGTCTGGAACTGAAGTATCAATATACAAATAATATTTAAAGCGCAACTTGCAATATTTAATCGCTAAAGCAATATACTATTTTATTTAAATAACAAGGCTATCGTCATGGTGAATTGACTTTTCAATTTAATAACAATCATTATGTAATTGCAATGCTAAAATAAATCCTGAAATACCTCATACTTATAAATAACAATTTAGAAACATCTATAACTCATGGTGCTACAAAATAAATACTCAAGTCAACAAATAAACAGATTATTTAATAGTGGTATAGACAATCCCTATGCTCACCAAAAATAACAACATAATCCATCAAGTCTAGTCTCAATAAAGTCTCATCATGACAAAAATTGATAATCATAATATGCATGACTCATAACAATAATGAAATCTCTATGCTCTTGCCTTTATCAGCGTCCGTCTCACGAACATCATCTCCTGAAAAATGTGCACCAGAAAGGTGAGATTTCTAAGGGGTCCTCAAGGAATCCTCCACCCCAAGCTCACTTACAGGTATAATATAAGTTCGAAAAGCAGTGCAGCCAATATGTAAAGAAACGAAACTGTAAATAGGTAAGTAGAATGGCTATCCCAGGCCATTTGTAACAGTGTACAATGCAGTAAATAAAAATGGGTGCACAATGCAGTATCATTATGGTAAAATAATTTGATCCTCATATAATCATATATCTTAGTATATATCATGTGATGTATGCAAGTGCAGTTCAACTGGCCAGAGAACAGGAAAGGCATTACGCATGTCTGCAACCTACCAAAACATGAGGGTCGCTGCCTCATGCCTTACACACCAGGGTTGTTTCCTGATCATGTAAGTAATCAACATCACATACATACATTACATCAACAAGCATATCGACATATATTAGATAAATACCAATTGCCTTACACACTAGGGTCGCAGCCTAATCGTGTAAGTAATCGACATCACATCCATACTTTACATCAAAAAGCGTATCCATATATATCAGATAAATATCAATGCATGAATATTTTCAGAAAAATCATACCATGCACATCAAATCATCCTCCCATGGAGTTTGGTGGAACAAATAATGGATAAATCCGAGGACCGAAAGCTTACCTGTCAAGCCAAATCCTCTACAACCAATTAGGTGTCCAACAATCACCAATATTCACAGCGCACAACAAGATCTCAATTTATTTTATACCATTCATAGCATTAATAAGCATGTCCTACAATTTCATGTCAAACGGAGCACTATTTCTTTTTCGTTTAGTGACTGCAAGCTTCTCTCAAAGCCCCTAAGCACAAAACTGCGTTTACTATTTTAAAATATTTAACTGCAACTCTTTACCAAAAATTGTAATATTTTGATATGTTAAACTATACATCATAAGCTTTCCAACAACATATTTTATGTCTCAATCGGAGTTGTATAACTCCGGTTATGTTTTTCGCAAAGTGACTGCTGCAATCTGAATTTCCAACAACCAAGTCGTAACTTCAAACTAACACTATGATCAAATCACTTATCCAATGGATATCAAATTTTACAGGGTTGTAGCCCTATATGTTAGCTTCACATAAGTCCAAACCTCACTCAATTTGGAGCTCTATACATCGAGATATCACAATTTTACCAAACTAGTGTGTTGTTATCACAATTGCACTAGGTAATCGATTATCATGATGAGTAATCGATTGCCACTCTAAGGCAATCGATTACCACCTGTGCAAAAATGCAAAAATGCAGATTTTTTTTCATAATTCGAGTTCCAATGGCCCTCCAAGGTTCCAACCTTCAATTTACCAAAAAACAGAAGTTCAATCTACCATATTACACTTAAATTAACAACCTTTAACTTGAATCATCAAAGTTTTCCTTTTTAACAACCCAAAACTTCATCTTTTTCATAGAGAATAAAGAGGAAAGGGTAGAGTGTATACCCAATTCTTGAAAACAACAAAAAGAAAGGACTTTGAAAGTCTTGCTATAGCACCAAGTTACTGTCCAATAAGGTGCACGAATTTAAACCTTCAAGTTGATTCCTTTCTTCACCAAGCTAGCTTCTTGAAGCTCCCAAAGACGTGAAAATGGTTCCCACAACAACTACAACAAAGGAGACAACCCACAACCTCAACAAACCAGAACCAAAACACCCAAAAGACAACCTTTTTTTTACTTGGAAGATGGAAGCTTTCTAGTGTTTAGTGGGTTTTGATGGAAGAAAACTAAGTAAAGAAGGAGTCTTGATGGGTTTCTTGAAGAGAAGGCTAAAGACTTAGTGTAAGGAGCTTTGTGCAGCCAAGAGAGGTCCAACATCTGAATTAGAACTAACTTAGGGTTTTGTTCCCTTTAACTATTTATATAAGTGTACTCACTAATCAACAATATTAGTTTAATCATTTTTGCTCTTCGTTTAACTCTGAAATTTTATATTCTTAACGTAGATATTTTCTAGGAATTATCATATTCTTACATTAATTTTTCGAGATACTTTACCGATATGCATTTTCTACTGCGAAATAGCTGGTATTAGTTCTAACATCACTGCTTATTATTTTCTTCCCAAATTTTATATTCTTGACCTAGATATTTTTCTAAGAATATTAATATTTTTATCACTATTTTTGAGTTACTTCGCCAGTATCCATTTATATCGTGAAATACCATGTGTTTCTACTGCGGTACCCGCAGTATCAACATTTTTAACTGAAAATGGCTAAATTCCAAGAATTAATATTTTCTACTAATGTTATCATAATTATTTTGTTGTCGTCACTTCATAAAATTTATGTAATTATGGTCACCATATTATTTCTATATTTCTGGGTGATTTTGCTCACTACAATTTTACTGTGAAAAACTCAATATTGTCCTTTTTCTCAAAAAAGTGCTTTACTTAAAATAATTAAAATTATTAAATCTTCCATTTTCTCATCCTTATTTAAATATT